GTTTTCAATTTCTTGTTCTCGCTTTTCTCCTTCTGGCACCCCCATGATGCGAATGTTGGCACGCTTAAAGTTGTCCCAGAGGCTCCTTACACTATCCTCATTTTTTTGGATTCTTTTTTCTTTTCACTGTTCTGATTGGGTGTTTTTTGCTTCCTTATATTCCAAATGGATGGTTTGCTTCTTGGATTTACGTACTCTACTACTGAATCTGTGTAAATTATTCTTTGTTTCAGTTAATGCCTCCTTCATTTCTGACTGTGCATCCATCATTTCTGACTGGTCCTTTAATATGCTCTTGAGGCCCTCACTAAGTTCACTGAGGTTCTCACTAAGTTCATTGAGCATCCTTATAAGCAGTATTTTGAACTCAGCATCTGTTAGGATGCTTATCTCCATTTCGCTTAGTTCTTTTCTTGGGGTTTTGTTCTGTTCTTTCATTTGGGACCTGTTTCTTTGTCTCCTCATTTTGGCTACCTCTCTGTTTGTTTCTGTGTATTACTTAACGAGAGGTATGAGGCTATCTGAGACCAGATGCTGCTCGTTTGAAAGAATTTAGGAAAAACCTAAAGCAGGATCCAAGACAGGCCAATCCTATGTTTAAGGAAGTGGCAACAGCTTGGGTGGGCCTGAAAGCTGGGTCGGGCAGGGCCTCAGGGAGTCACCAGGGCAGGGCTACCAGTGTGAGCCAGGTTGCTGGAGTCCCAGGTATGGCAACTGTCTGCTGCCCCAGGGAAGGGCTCGCCAAAGGAACAAAGGCCTCTGACAGCACATCTGTCCCGGAGAAAGCCCCCTCTCCAGCCGTTGCTCGTGCCAAACAGCTCAGTTCTTCCCTGTATGACTCTGGTGCCCCTCGAGCTGCCTCCCCTCCAAGCTTAGAGGGAGAGAGTCCGATAAGTCCGCGCACAGGCCCTTTAAGGAGCTGCCTGGGGCTCCAGCCGCCTCAGTCTCCCTGAGCCTCAGTTCCTGTTTTTTCCAGCCAGAATTATGGGGACTTCTCTTCCTGGCACTGGAACCCTGAGTGGGGCACCTGGTTTGGGACAGGGACCCCTCAGTCCTCAGGAAGGACCTTCCCAGCCGAGGTATCCTCCTGATTTTTATCCGCCACACGTGGGTGTGGGACCAGCCCGTCGTGCCTCTGCCCCTCGCGCCTCTGCCCCTCCTACCAGTCTGGATGTGGCTGCTGCTTTAATTCCGTAGCTGTAGGACTTCCATTCAGCTTGATTTCAGGCGGTTTTGAATGACGGTGGTTCTGTAGTTTAGTTGTAACTTTGATGTGGTTGTGGGAGGACGCGTTACTGCGTTTACCTACACTGCCATCTTGACCGGAAGTCAAAATTCAAACTCTTCGGATCATCTAACACAGACTTTTACAATCTGGATCCTTGCTAATCTCACTAAATTCTTCTCATAACTTTCTCCCCTTTACTACCCAAGGTTGACATACTGGCCCTTCTTCGTGTTCTTTGAACATGTCAAACTCATTCTTCCTACATTATCATCTCTCAGCACCACCTCTATCTCTATCCAGGAAAACCATCTCTATGATCGCAGCTTGACTGAGTCTTAGTCCTTTGATTAATGTTAGTTTCACAGTGAAGAGTTTCTCTTAACATGCAATCCATACTGTCACTCTCTACATCATTCAATTACACTTCTTTATGGAGAACTTATTTCATGTTCACTTGTTCATTATGTCTGTGCCCATCAAAATTAAAACATAGGAGTGCATGAATTTTTGTTTTGTTGATCACTGCATCCTTATGCTTAGAACATAGCCTGCTTATTGACAAATAGCCTTTTTTTAAAAAATGTGTATATATAAAAGGCAGAATGTGATTAGAAATGTATTTACCAGGTCAAACATTGCTACAAAAGGATGGTAATGTTGTCAAAACTGAACCACTGGCCACCGTGCAGTATTTACACGAATTCAAAATATTGTCAGTTGATGTACAGATATCATAATTCGGGCATCTGAATGACACTGTAAATTTGATTATATTGTTGATTGGACAGGTTTGTTGGAAACTGAATATACCTAGAGTCTCTAGTCTGTTTACTATCTAGTATATTTCTAGTGTTTTCATATTCAATCACTGTTTCCTTCATAATATTTTTAATTATGTAGCAAGACTAGTCATTCTTTCCTTCTCCCATTTATTCTTCTTTTAAAAAAATAATTTTGTGGCTCTTCTCATATATTGAATCTTCTAAATAAACTTCCGAATAAATTGGTCAAATTTTTTTAAGTCCCTGAGGTTTTTGACTAAAACAGCAATAAATGCATTTTAAGAATTTATACATAAATCAGTAATATATATTATTTATATTATTATAAAGTAAATAAATATAAACTTACTTTATATTTACCTATTTTATTTAAGGCTAATACCAAATAACCAACCAAAAATGTATTATATGCCCCAGATTACATTCTTTTAGTACATTTATAAAGAAATTATACATCATGCCCTGGCCGGTATTGTTCAGCGGTTTGAGCGCCGGCCTGTGGTCCAGAGGAACCTGGGTTCAGTTCTCGCTAAGGGCATATACCTCGGTTGCAGTTTGTCCCCGGCCCTGGTTGGTCATGCGGGTGGCAGCCACTCAATGTGTCCCTTTCATGTCGATGTTTCTCTGTCTCTCTCTCTCTCCCTCCCTCCATCTCTCTCCCTCCCTCCCATTCTATTTGAACAAAAAATGAAAAAATGTCCTCGAATGAGGATTAAAAAAAAAAATTACACATCATTAATTTTATTACTGAGTATTTCATTTTAGTTGCTATTGTGAATGAAATTTTAGTCTTTTCAATATACACTCCAATTGATCAGAAGTAAATGAAAAAAACTATTAATACTATTAGTCTTATAGCCTATCATAATGCTCAACTCATTATTTCTAAGACTTAAGGTGACGCATAATTACAAGAAAGACAGTATCATCCGAATATTATTTTATTCTCAAATACCGTGAGACAGCAATTTATAACGCTATTATATATTAGTATCACCTTTCTGTAAAAACAATTTAGCAGTATTAAAAACATTTGTAATCTAGCCCTGGCCGGTTTGGCTCAGTGGTTAGAGCATCAACCTGCAGTCCCGAGAGACCGGGGTTTGGTTCCCACTAAGGGCGCGTACGTGGGTTGCAATTTGTCCCCGGTCCTGGTTAGTTGTGCGGTGGCAGCCACTCGATGTGTCCCTTTCACGTCGATGTTTCTCTCTCTCTGTTCCTCTCTCTCCCTCCCACTGTACCTGAACAAAAATGGAAAAATGTCCTCGGGTGAGGATAAAAAAAACAAAAACAACACATCTGTAATCTAGCCCTGAGATTCATTTCCCAGAGTTGTATCTGACAAGATGCATTTAGAGCAGTGGTTCTCAACCTTCCTAATGCCGCGACTCTTTAATACAGTTCCTCATGTTTTGGTGACCCCCAACCATAAAATTATTTTCGTTGCTACTTCATAACTGTAATTTTGCTATTGTTATGAATCGCCATCGGAAATATGTATTTTAGGGGACCACTGTGAATGGGTCATTTGACCCCCCAAAAGGTCGTGACCCACAGGCTGAGAACCACTGATTTAGAGATTTATATATAAAGCTATTCATCAGTGTGTCATATATAACAGTAAAAAAACAACCAGAAATGGGCTAAGGGGTAAATAAATTCTTTATCTGCAGGGCAAACTTTATTAAATCATTAAAAATTATTTTTAGCCCTGGCAGGTTTGGCTCAGCAGTTAGAGCGTCGGCCTGCAGTCCGGAGAGACTCGGGTTCAGTTTCCGCTAAGGGCATGTACCTCGGTTGCAGTTTGTCTCTGGCCCTGGTTGGGTTGTGTGTGTGGCAACTACTCGATGTGTCCCTTTCACATCAATGTTTCTCTCTCTCGCTCCCTCCCACTCTATCTGAACAAAAAATAAAAAAATGTCCTCGGGTGAGGATAAAAATGGGAATAAAATTTTTCTTTCACAGAAGATAGGTAGCAAAATATTTATACAACCCATTCATTTAAACAAGTAATGTTTGTGATGTATTTCAGAATTATAAAATATGTCCAAAACTTTTACTGACAGGATCATCTTTACTTTAAATTTATATTTCAGAAACTTGGTGTTCATGAAGGAAGATGGAAAATATGTGTTTTATAAAATATTGCAAGTTATCTTCTTTGCCCTCTCTATACATTTAAACAAAATTATGGAATTAAAATTATATAATTAAAATCACAGAATGTCCCTTCTTTGGGCCTTCATCAATTATATGAAAGCATTTAATATAAGGACTCTTAACCTGGTTTTTGGGTAAAGAATTCATAAAATGCTTTTGAAACTCAGGAAAGCAAGAAAAAAAAAGATGCACATGCATAAAATATTCCACATACATACAAAGAGCAAAGAATCTATTCTTATGGACATCTGCTTTAGAAGAATCACAACCATTTCATATTCAAAGAAATGTGTATTCTTAAAATTTTGTTTCCATGTTATTTACATTATTCAACATTTCTGCTAAAGAACGTGTTTGCCAGTGTTGATACAAAGGGAAAAAACAGTGATCACAAAATTCTGTTATAAATTTTTGGGTCATAATAAGAATACATTTGATGTTAAGAGTTTTAACTCCAAGCTTAAGGTATTCTAATTCCATTTTTCCCCTCACTCTATTAAAGTGTAAATATAATAAGAAAGATTTTAATGATAGAACTAAAATCAACTTTATTACTAAGGCATTAAAACATTATATTTTTGAAAGGAAAGTAGTCACACATCAACATAAATATATAATAACCATTCATGAAAAAATGTTATATTAAGAATTATGGTGAAACACTACCAACATAGTAAAATATCATGTTGTGCTATTAATACATTTCCTTTTATTAAAATAATTAGTAAGCTTTAATGAGGATTCTAATCAATGGACATTTTTCAAAGCATATAAATCATTTGATATTTACTATTATATCCATGCTCTAATTTCATCAATATTAAGCTTACCTTTCCTTTTGGTCCAGACTGCTTAAAACATGAAAAAGAAAAAAAATGTAAGAGGCAAGACCTCATTTTTGATATATCATTGTAGTTTTAGTAACTGTAGTCAATAAGGCAAAACTCTAATTTGATTAATTTGTTTTAAACACATATGTTACATATTGTTTTGAATCTTGTCAGATAAACTGTTTTTCCAATCTGTCAATACAGAAAATACTTTATATCTAAACATTTTTAAGGAAGAAAAAAGATGTACAAAGATATAAAAAAATTCTTGAAAGCTTTATTTAAACCATCCAACATTTAAAGATATGTTATTTTAGAGTAGTTATGTAAGTCAGTCTTCAAGGAACAATGCAATTTCCTGAAAATCATAAAAAATTTTAGTGTTTCTAAGTAATAAAAAAAATTTTTAAGGGTTGAAACTATTGCACCAAAGACTTAGTATATGGTTTGGAATACAAGGAAATGCCTGGGATTTAAAATGATGGTCTCTAATCTAAAGCCCAATGTAAAAAAGATCCACCCTTCTCCACAGTTCACAGAAAACCTAAAAAGCTATCTGCATCAATTATTTAAGAGTAAAATTATAAAAACCCTCAATTTAGAATAAGATTCACATTCTAGAAATTTTCCTCTTTATTATAAAAGGAACTAAACATTCAGAACTAACTCTTAGCAAAACATAGCTTACAAATCCTCAAGTTCCCATATTAACTCTAGTACTATCATGTGGAGCACACAAGTAAAATCAATTTAATCCTAACAAAAATTTTAAAAAAGAAATATGGTAACATGGCTTTACAAAAACAATACTGAAAAGAAACACTAATTTTTAAAAAATTTTTCAATAGTAATAAAATTATTATAAACTTACATGATGCCATATTTCAAATTTTGTCTTTGCTATTTAAAAAATGGGATAATCTATATAAAATAAGTTTATGTTGTATAAATAACAGAAAAATGAGGGAATATTAGTTTTACACCCCTATTAAAGTGAAATAAAATATAAATGTAGAAGTTTAAATATTTATTTATGTATTTATATTTTTTCTTATAGAATTATATTTACAGGAAAGCAAAATAAAAACCAAAAGTTAGGTATTAATACCTAATCTAGTCATTTCCAACTCTACACTGTTGTCCCCAAGAAGTGGGAAGAGTTCAGTACTTTCTCATTTTTGTGTTGTTTTTTTAAACTCACCTGTATAGAGTAAAAGAAAGAGGTAGAAGACCTAGTAGCAGAAGAAAAAGGTTTGGTTCTTTCAATAAACCAAGGAAATTAGAAACAAAAACAAAACTATATATCCATGCTCATTTATTGTAATATATCTAATTAATGTCATGGCATGTCTATAAGATTCCTCATATGTTTATTATCAGTCCTGCTCTAGAGGAGCTTACATATTTAAATAAAAAAAGCTTTTAAAAAATGGGGAGGGAAGCCTAATTAGTAATGTAGTACTTTGTAAAATGTCAACTTACATTCTTGTTGGGCTATTTCATTCTTGAACTAGTGGTATACCAGTGCTATTAAAATGTTAAAGAAAAAAGAAAGGAAAGAAGACTGACTGATTCTGGTATCCATGACTCGATTTAGGACTTCAAAAATTCATTCAAAGTAGTGCTTTTCATTAATAATTAAATCTTGCTTATTCCAGGAGCCCATTTTCCCATTTATGGTGTATATATGCTTTTGTAGACATTCCTTTTTCCCTATGGGTCTTAAAAGTCTTTTTACCTATCCTTAATAAAAAACAAAACAAAACGAAAAGTGAAAAGTAAATAAAACATAAACCAGTAAATGTGCTCTTATAGCAAGTCTGATTAAAGTTAGGGGTGAAGATGGTATAGAGCTACTTAGATTTCTAAAATTTCTGCTTTTTTCCATACCAAATGCTATCATCCTCCTCTATCATTAGAGTATAAACAACCTATCTTTTAATATAAATTAACATTTGGAATAGCAGTAAGAATACAGACTGGAATCATAATATTCTCCCAAATGGTAGCTAATCTGATCTGATGCTTTAACAATCTTCATTCATTTCTTTTAAATTAAAAAGATGTGAATACTTGTTCCCCTATCTTACTAAAGTACTATAAATTATTCAAAATGCAGGTCTGATTTACTTAAGAGACAAGTTATACCACTCACCCCAAGAATAAATTTTATGTGTGAATTACCAACTGATGGTATTTCCTTTAATTTTTCAGATTAAGAATTTAGAAAATAAAAATTAGAAGCTATAAAAGCCAGTGTGCTCACCCTCATCTGAGGCCTGCACTAATTAAAACCAATGAATGCATAGCAAACCATCCTTTTCTCATGACTTTGAAGATATGGTTCCTACTGCATGCAGTGTTTTCTTTTAGCTAGCAGACTCAAAAGTTACTTCCTTTGTGAATTTTTTACCCCTTCCTTTTCTGTACACAGTATTATACATACTTTGTATCTCTACTACTGCACTTACCATGTAATCACTTGTTTACTTGTCTTTCTGACCTCTACTTCAATCAAACTTGAGCTTCAAGGCAGGGACTTTGTCATACTCATCTTTGACTACTCTGTACTACACTTATGCCTGGTATGAAATAAATGTTTTTGAAGGAAGAAAATTGGAAAAACTCTCAATGACTTGTCTTTGAATTTCAAAATATCGTTGATGACAGTCACAACGCAATGAGAAATAAGAAATGTTTACTCTGTAAATAAGAAATAAAAGCAGAATCTATCCTGCTGTCATAACTCCAGGTTTCCCTTATTGTCTCTAGTTGTTCTTGTCAGGTATTTTTACTCAGATTTATTTCTTTAAATACAAATTAACTGAGGTTTTACTTTTTTTAAAGAAATATTTTACTAGGGAATACCAGTTCCTATTAACAGAATCTAATACTTTATGCAGATAAGTAACGGTATACATGCAAGGTATGACAGTTGTGGAGACCTAGAATGAAACAAACCAAACCGATTTCCAGACTAAAGTCAGTTTTTTAACATTACCAATGAGGAAAGGGGGTTGGGGAGAACAGGTTACAGTGCAAATAAATCCAAACTAACAGATAACTTCTAAAGCAATAATAATCTTGGTTTTAGAATGTATTAGTTGGTTATAAATTAGCATTCAACTTGGAGCACATTTTCAGAATATCAAAAACATGGATCTTTATCAGCAATGGGTTCTATCAATATGATCAGTGTGTGAGAAAACTATACCTCTTCTTTTCTTTCCCCCTATTTACTCTCCTTTTATTATTTATTTTCTTGTTTATGCCACACGTAGGCCAGACAGCTTGATCTGTGTACTTTATAGAAAAACAAGCCAATTTTTGGTATATGCAGTTAATGTCTTTTTAATTAAATTTCTCAAATATTTTATGTGACAACTATGATTTAAAAATAATATATTTTAGTAAAAAAAAAAAAATTTTTACTATCCTAATCCATGAGAAAGATTTGAGATTTTTAAGTCAAAAATATGTTATAGCAAATCTATGTAAAGAATAAACATAGCAAGGGTTCCTAAGAGTCTGGGTTCCTAACTTTTTTGAATGAACGGCAGTCTAGACTGGTATTTTTAAATAATGAAGAACAGCCTCTAGTATATATACCAAATCTTTGAATTTTACTAATCATAAAAATATTTTCATGCAACAATTCATAATGCAAGAAATAAAGAGATTATTTAATTGTTGGAGTCCAAGAATTTTTTAGTAAACTGAAATTGACTCAGAACTAAAATTTCATAAACATTTATAGATATAAAAAATCACAAAAGCATTTAAAAGATTCAAGTAGTACTGTACTTTCACAACCAATAAGAACATCGAAATCAATTGAAACGACTAAAACATAAAATTTTGTTAAACATTTAAAACTAATAATGTGACTTATTTTGACACTATGAAATCCTATGAACCTTACAAAGAAAGGTAATAATTGCAGTTTTACTCATCAGAGCTAAACTACCAGCTGAAGATTTCTCTCTCAAATGCTGTAAGTTCAATGTTGTAAAATCAGTATAATTTAAATGGAATATAATATAATAGAATGGCTTTTATTTTAAAAGTCCCTATTTACAGAAAGTGATTTATTCAAAAGCAGATATAAAATAATAAAATTCTAGGACATAAATTATTTCAGAAACATGAATATATCTTTACATACAACAGAAACAGTAAAATTTCACAAAGTTAAAAAAAATGGTTTTAAAAAAAGTAAAAAAACTCCTATTAAAGGGGATGGTATGTATATACTAAACAAAAGCAATTAGAATCCTTACCTTTGGGCTGCTGTTTTTACTATTGGTACTTGTGCATTAGCATGATGAAAACATCTACCATCAATAACAGTTCCAGAACATAATGGTGCATTCTGTGTATTTTCACTGCAAATTCAAGAAACAAAAAATAATTAATATATATATGTATGCAAAATAAATCCTTTAAAATCTGAGCATATGCACAAAACCACTTCTAAAACTTTAAAGATAACCCCAACTGGCCATGTTAAATTGTCCATTAGGAGAGTTCCACTTTCTGAATTGGTCTCTGGAATGCTTACAATCCAGTTCATGAAAGACAATAAAAGAGTAGAACACGAGACATCAGAAATCCTAAATAAATGCTTTGTACGATAAGATTTTCATTAAATTAATTAAGGTATATTTTCTCTCCTTATTCTCTACTTAGAGACTATGTATAGGAAATATTTAAACCATGACTATTAGTTTTCTTATATGCCAAATAAAAACGTGTTACTTGTAAAGCGTAGTAAAAATGAGTCCTAAATTCTACTTATGATTCTGCCACTGACTCAAAAGTTACTTAGCCTTTATGTAACTTAGAAATGAATTAGTGATTTTTTTCAATCCTATTTCTGGAAGATGTAACAACCCAATCATATCAGTAACAGTGGTTAACTACGACAACCACTAGGAAAGGTGAGTTACATACATCTAGGAGAGGAGAAAAATAAGAAATATTTAAAGTAAAAAAAAAAAAAAAAGTCCTTTACTGAGATAATCCTGACAAGAATCCCCTAAAAATAATGACCATCTATCCTATGATGCCATCTAATTCTAATATCATGACGAAGATTTTACTTACTGCATGAAAGCAAGTTTATCTTATAAAATCCTAGTCTACTGAAATTTTCTTGCAATGTGTTTATTTAGAACCAAGAAATCACTAAAATCAACCCCATTCCCAAGATTTAAAGTAAAAAAACCACCCACTGGGACTTTACTTCTTGGTCATACTGACAAAAAAGAAAAGTGTGAATTCGGCCAACTGGCCACAAAGATGGTTAGTTTTAGTGTAAAAGACTTTATATTTTCTGTAGGAATGTGTGGTGAAGTGCCTATACCTCAGTCTCTTTTTGTTGCTCAACATGTTAAGTCCAATTGGGTTGCCTTTTAAAGGTTTTACATTTTCAGTCTTGTTTCGTCTTGCACATGTCTTCCAAGAATCACCAGAACCAGTAGCAACAATTTCAGATTGACGATTTAACTAAAAAAATCCATAAATGTTAAAGAGACAATGAATATCATAATATGATAATTTATCAACATCTCTTTGAAAACTCATTTACCAAAAATGTAGTAAAATGTACTAAATACTAAGGAAGAATGGGAAGGATGGCAGTGGCATAGATCTAAAAGTAATTCAACTATAATACATTTTTTCCCTAAGGACAACACAAATATATAGGAACATGGGCACTTATGATATTAATTTATTTTCATTTAAAATATCTCCAAAGAGAGATGCAAATTAAAACAATGAGGTATCACCTCACACCTGTCAGAATGGCCACATCAACAAATCATCAACCAACAAGTGTTGACGAGGGTGCGGAGAAAAGGGGACTCTAGTACACTGCTGGTGGGAATGCAGACTGGTGCAGCCACTATGGAAAACAATATGGTGTTACCTCAAAAAATTAAAAATTGGCCCTGGCCGGTTTGGCTCAGCGGTTAGAGCGTCGGCCTGCGGTCCGGAGAGACCCGGGTTCAGTTCCCGCTAAGGGCACGTACCTTGGTTGCAGTTTGTCCCCAGCCCTGGTTGGGTCGTGTGGGTGGCAACCACTCGATGTGTTGCTTTCACGTCGATGTTTCTCTCTCTCTCTCTCCCTCTCACTCTATCTGAACAAAATATCGAAAAATGTCCTCGGGTGAGGATAAAAAAAAAAAAAAATTAAAAATTGAACTACCATTTGACCCAGTGATCCCACTTCTATACCCTAAGAAGCCTGCAACACCCATCAGAAAGAATATATGTACCCCCATGTTCATAGCAGCAGTAAGATCTGGAAATAGCCCAAATGTCCATCAGTAGACAAATGGATAAAAAAGCTGTGGTACATATACACAGTGGAGTACTATGCAGCTGTAAAAAAAAAAGAAAGATCTCTTATCCTTTAAGACTACATGGAGAGACCTAGAGAATATTATCGAAGCGAAACAAACCAAGCAGAGAAAGACAAATATCACATCATCTCACATATTTGTGGAATATAATGAGCATAACAGTCTGAGGAACGGGGTAGTCCCAGAGACATGGAAGTGGGGTACAGACTGACAATCCCCAGGGTGGGGATGGGGGGGATAAACCACAGAACTTATATGCATGTATGCATGAACAATGGTCATGGACAACAAAGCTGGGGACAGGGTGGGGAGGGAGGAAGAGGGGGGTATCAGTGGGGAGAAAGTAGAAACAACTGTAACAAAAATTAATTAATTAATTAATTAAAATAAATAAATAAAATAAAATATCTCCAAAGAGCCCTGGCCAGTTTGGCTCAGCGGTTAGAGTCTTGGCCCGCGGACCAGAGAGACCCGGGTTCGATTCCTACTAAGGGCACGTACTTCAGTTGAAGTTTGTCCCTGACCATGTTTGGGATTGTGTGGGTGACAACCAGTCAATGTGTCTCTCTCACATCAATGTTTCTCTCTCTCTTCCTCCCTCTCTCCCTGCCGTTCTATCTTAAGATAAATGAGGATAAAAAAATCTCCAAAGAGCCTGGCCAGTGTGGCTCAGTGGTTGAGCTTCAACCTATGCACCAGGAGGTTGCCAGTTCAATTCCCAGTCAGGGCACGTGCCCAGGTTGTGGGCCCAATCCCCAGTGAGGGTCACGCGGGAGGTGGCCAATCGATGTTCTCTCTCATAGATGTTTCTATCTCTCTCCCTCTCCCTTACTCTCTCAAAAATATCCAGAAGAAGAAAAAATTAAAATATCTCCAAAGATATTTGAGAAAATAAACAGAAAAACAGGTATGCTCTCCCTATCAAGAGCAGGCCCATGGGCCCATGCCTTTCCTTATCCTTACTCCCTCTTATTCCCCGCAGGCATGTTACCTTTGCCTTTCTCTCTCCTAAGCTCCAAGGGCCCTTCTTTTGCTTCTGTAACTTATTTCCTGAGCCTCTGCAGCCCAGTTGCCACACTTCTACCTCTGTAACTGTCTAAATAAACATTCTCTTATAATTAAAAACAAACAAACAAACAAAAAAACAGAAGGGATGAGGGTAGAGGATCTTAGCATAGCTCTTTCTTAAGAGCAAAAAAATAAACACTTTCCCTGCTTAACAGGCCTTGCTGCTAACTGTAGAGCAGTGCAGCCAAATATGGTAATATGTCGTCATTTCAACTTGTACAATGACTTTGGTCTTAGCACAAAAGTTTCTATATAACACAGAAACCAAGATGTTTTCATACTTTTACAGTTGCAAATGATAATATAAACGTATCAGTAACAATCACTATTTAGATAGATCACACTATGACAACAGAATAGCTCATTCCTTGGGAAGCTCTTCAGCAAAGACACTTACTTTTATTACATGTATTACAAAGGACATTTAAAAGTTGCTTTCACACTCAAGACAAAGATCCTCAGTTCTTAGTGACCATTTACCCAAAACAAGATTTTAAAAATAATTCCTACATCCTTTAATAGTATTTTTGAAACAACAGTCTAATCTTTTATCTTTTTACAAGAATACATAGTCATAAGATAGCAACTTGGCTCCCTCAACCCCAATTATCTCTATAGAAACCTAACAGTTCCCTATAAAAAATACCAGCTACAAAAAAATCCTAAGGAGAGAGTTCATTGTGCCAGCACCATTCTTGTTTTCAGGCATATCTACATAACAAAATTCCAAAAAGACCTATTTCTGACAAAATGCGTATTACTTTCTTCTTCTTGAGATATTTCTTTACTTCCTAATCTTTTTATTTTTTTCTTTATTGATTTTAGAGGAAGAGGAAGGGAGAGGGAGAGAGAGATAGAAACACCTATGAGAGAGAACGTCAACTGGCCGCCTCCTACATGCCCCCCACTGAGGATCGGCCCCACAACCTGGGCATGTGCCCTGACCGGGAATCAAACTGGCAACCTTTTGGTGCATGGTTTGACGCTCAACCACTGAGCTATACCTGCCCGGCAACTCCTAATCTTTTACAGCCATATACTTTAGACTCCTTCACTTCTGTTAATGGCATATTAGGTAATGCAGATCAATCTTCCCTCAAGTCTCTGAAAATAACTAGAGAAACTGGACAAAACACAAATTTTAAAATATACACATATACATACATACATACATACATTTCAGGTATCTGAGGGCTACCAAGGCAGTGAAGTATTAAGAATTAAGCACTGGCCAGTGTGGCTCAGCTGCTAGAGCGTCAGCCTGAGGACCAAAGAGTCGAGAGTTCGATTCCATCAAGGGCACATACCTTGGTTGCAGTTCAGTCCCCAGACATGGTCAGGGTAGTGCAGGAGGCAACCAATTGATATGTCTCTCTCACATCGACATCTCTCTCTCTCTCTCTCTCTCTCCGATTTTGTCTGAAGATAAATGGAAAAATATCCTCAAGTGAGGATTTAAAAAACAAGAAAAAAGAATTAAGGCTGTGGGGGTGGGGAGCTGGGTGGAGGCGGGCAAAGGGGTAAAAAATGGGGATATCTGTAATAGTATTAACAATAAAAACAAAGAAAAAAAAAGAATTAACATCAGGGACAAGAAAATCTGATCCCAGATTCATATTTTTCCCTGTGGCACCTTTTAACTCCAGAAGATGCAGCTGAGAGGCTGAGAAGCTAAACTGAGCTTCCCACAGACTCAGAGGGCTAAGGAGACAAAAAGTGGAGTTCAAGATCTACCAAGTATGAAGGGCTTTGTAAACACCTCAAAATTTGGATTAGGATTATAGTCTATGAATAAGAGTGAATTAGAACTATAACAGCCCTCTCACAGATTGAAATCCAGGTATCAAACATCTCAACCTCCAGTTCAATTAAGAGTAAATCAGCCCTGCCCTGGCCAGTTTGGCTCAGTGGTTGAGCGTCAGCCCACAGACAAGAGAGTCCCGGGTTCAGTTCCTGCTAAGGGCATATACTTCGGTTGCAGTTTGTCCCCAGCCCTGGTTGGAGTTGTGTGGGTGGCAACCAGTCGATGTGGCTCTCTCACATCGATGTTTCCCTTTCTCTTTCCCTCCCTCTGTCCCTCCTATTCTATCCGAAGATAAATGCAAACAAAATAATAAAAAATAAAAAGACTAATCTGCTGTGATTTATTACAACCAGGTAACAAACTCAGGTAAAAATCAAGGCCATAACATTTCTGTCTTAGAATTCAGAAGTGAAATGGTTGTCATGAAGATGAAATTAACACATGTATTTAAAATGAAAACAGACTTTTATAGATAAATATTACATCTGATTTAATTGACTGGCTGGTCTATGTGAACTGGCCTTGTTAAATCAGTTCTATGTAGAGATTTTCCATAGACTACAAGAGCTAAAATGTAGGTACAAGTTTTAAAGAAAATACATAAAACAAAAATTAGAAAGTTATTTTACAAAAAATATTGCATTAGTAAAGGCACCCTGAATTTTTAAAAATTTAAAATTTTCCAATAATTTCTGAGTATTTGGTTTAAAAAAGAATCTAAAAGTAACAAATACAATTACTAGCCACTCATTAAGTCTTGATAAAGTCTTTTTAGTATATTTCACCCAAATGCAGAAAGCCAGTGACTAATTTACAAATTATTTTTAACTTTTAAATGTTGACTGCTATGTGATTTTTGGCACTTAACTTAAAAAGAACTAAATGATAATGCTATATAGCAAAACTCTTTCCATATCCATCTATTTATTATGTGACCAAGATTTCACAGTACTGATATACCCCCAAAAAAACTGCTGCTAAAAATTTTATTCTAGTGATAAATATTTATTCATGGATACATGAACTAAATGAAAAAGAAAGAAAACATCAGTGTCATTAATTTTAAAAGATATATTTCGAATATAATTCTACACAAGAGGTTTAATAATTAAAAATATCTGTAATATAGTTTAGGATTAAATATGTATTAATAATTGGCCCTGGCCGGTTTGGCTTAGCGGTTAGACCATCGGCCTGCGGTCTAGAGAGACCTGGGTTTTTGGTTCCCGCTAAGGGCACGTACCTCGGTTGCAGTTTGTCCCCGGCCCCGGTTGGTCATGCGGGTGGCAGCCACTCGATGTGTCCCTTTCATGTCGATGTTTCTTTCTCTCTCTCTTCCTCTCTCTCCCTCCCATTCTACCTGAACAAAAAATGAAAAAATGTCCTTGGATGAGGATAAAAAAAAATTGGCTGGTGTGGCTCAGTGGTAGAGAGTCGACCCATGCACCAAGAGGTCGCCAGTTCAATTCCCAGTCAGGGCACGTGCCCAGGTTGTGAGCTAAAACCCCCCAGTGGAGGGCATGTAGGAGGCAGCCAGTCAATGTTCTCTCTCATTGATGTTTCTATCTCTCTCCCTCTCCCTTCCCCTCTCTCTAAAAACAATTTTTAAAAACATTATAAAGAACTCAATCTAGTAAAAAAAAAAAGAGCCCTGGCCAGTTTGGCTGAGTGGTTAGAGCGTCGGCCTGCGGTCCAGAAAGACCTGGGTTTGGTTCTCAATAAAGGCACATACCTTGGTTGCAGTTTGTCCCCGGCCCTGGTTGGTCATGTGGGTGGCAGCCACCTGATGTGCCCCTTTCACGTCTATGTTTTTCTCTCTCTCTCCCACTCTATCTGAACAAAAACTGTCCTCGGATAAGGATTAAAAAAAAGAACCTTTTGCCCTGGCCAGTTTGGCTCAGTGGTTAGAGTGTTGGCCTGTGGTCTGGAGAGACCCAGGTTCGGTTCCCACTATGGGCACGTACCTCATTGCAGTTTGTCCCCGGCCCTGGTTGGGTCGTGTGGGTGGCAAGCACTCGATGTGTCCCTTTCATGTCGATGTTTCTCTCTCTCTCTCTCCCCCTCCCACTCTATCTGAACAAAATATCGAAAAATGTCCTCGAGTGAGGATAGAAAAAAATGAACCTTTTAGTGATAATATTATTATTTAATGTTAAATTTCAGTGAATGTTTATCATATTATTAAAGCATAACAAGATAATTTAAAATATTTCTATCGCATAAAGATACATTATATGAAGTTAAAATACATAAAGTAAAAATTCTGTGAGAAAGTTGAAAGGAAATATAAATTTAAGAAAAAGGCACAGCATAATATTTTCAACTATTAAAGAAGAGATAGCACACATTCGTTGTTAATCCTAACCCAAGGATATTTTCCACTGAATTTTTTTAGAGATAGTGGAAGGAGTGGGTAGAGAAAGAAAGAGAGAGAGATTGATTGACTGCCTCCTGCACGAACCCAACTGGGGCCAGGGAGCAAATCTGCAACCCAGGTACATGCCCTTGACTGGAATCAAACCCGAGATCCTTCAGTCCACAGCTGAACCAAACCGGCCAGGGCAAGATAGTACATTTTAAAAAAGTATTTTTAAAATAAATGCTCAGTATCAAATCATAATTATCTTTCGATATCACTAGGTACATATGTCAAGTAGGTTTTATTTTAACATATCCATATTTATATCCTTAAAAATGTGTAATAAGGCATATACTTTATTAAACGATTAAGGTCATCTTCAAGCAAAAAAAAAAATGTCAAGATGAATGTCACAGAAGTTAGTGATGGAACACACCTTTTATTTTTCTCCACAAAGTTCATTATTTCTGTTTACATGAAGAGTTACTAACAGCAGCACTCTAAAAAATCGAGACCCAGTGGTTGAGCATCAACCCATGCACTAAGAGGTCGCCAGTTCGATTCCCAGTCAAGGCACATGCCCATGTTTCACGCCCAATCCCCAGAGGGGAGCATGCGTAAGGCTGCCAATCAATGTTCTTTCTCATCAATGTCTCTATCTCTCTCCCCCTCCCTCTAAAATCAATAATAAAATATTATTTAAAAAAAAAAAGCCCTGGCCAGTTTTGCTCAGTGGTTAGAACATCAGCCCATGGACCAAAGACTCACAGGTTCGATTCCAGTCAAGGGCATGTACCTTGGTTGTGGTTTGGTCCCCAGCCCTGGTGGGGGTCATGCAGGAGGCAACCAATTGATGTCTCTCTCTCCACCCCCTTCCCTCCATCCCTCACTCCCTCCCACTCTATCTGAAGATAAATGAAAAAACATCGAGTGAAAATTTTAAAAAAAAAAGATCTCTAAATACTTTGCCGTAGAGATTTATCTACAGTCTAAAATGTTAAATAAAAACAAATGGAGGTGTTGCCCTGGCTGGTGTTCCCAGTGGTTAAGAGCATTGACTCACATACTGAAGGGTCTAATTTTGATTCCTGGTCAAGGGCACGTATCTGGGTTGCAGGTTTAATCTCCAGTCCCAGTCAGGGCACATGCAGGAGGCAAACAATTGATATGTCTCTCTCACATTGATGCTTCTTTCTTTCTCTCTTTTTAACACTCCCTTCTTCTCCCACTCTCTCTAAAAATCAATAAAAAAAATATCTTCAGATGAGGATTAACAGTAACAAAAAATTGAGGTGCCAAACTGTGTGGATACTTTCTCCAAAAAGAGTGGTATATTTTATAAATTAAAAATTAAAAAACAAACAAAACAACAACAATGGAAGGCTAAACCACAACAGGTTGCCTACAGATGAGAGAGAGGGATGGAGGAAATCAAGACAAACACTAGACTTCCCTGAATAAAACTTTAGTAGATCTGACTTTGGAACCATGTGGATATTTATTCATAAATATAAAAAAATTAAGTTAATAAAAAAAAAATTGTAAAACGCAATTCCTCAGCCAGGGCTCAGCCAGTTTGGCTCAGCGGTTAGAGCATCGGCCTGAGGTCCAGTGGGATACACTTGGTGGTACCACCAAATAATAAGGAAACAAACAGCCCTGGCCAGTTTGGCTCAGCGGTTAGAGCGTCGGCCTGTGGTCTGGAGAGACCCGGGTTCGGTTCCCGCTAAGGGCACGTACTTCGGTTGCAGTTTGTCCCCGGCCCTGGTTGGTCATGCGGGTGGCAGCCACTCGATGTGTCCCTTCACGTCGATGTTTCTCTCTCTCTCCCTTCCTCTCTCTCCCTCCCACTCTATCTGTACAAAAAATGGAAAAATATCCTCGGGTGAGGATAAAAAAAAAAAAAAGGAAACAAACAAAAAAATTTTTAATCACTTTAATAGTTATTATACTTGTATTGGTATTTTGAAATGATTTAATGTATCTAATAGGACAAAGCAAATAAGTAACTAAATTAATATCATTAGGAACCAAGACACTAAACCCTAAAAACATGTATTTCACAACATAAGAAAAGACATTTTCTCCAAAGCAATAACCACCAAAAGCAAAGACAAAAAAGCCTAGTGAAAAAAACTGGTTTAAAATATTAGCAACTAGCATTAAAGTAACAAGCCAGTGTCTCCAAAAAATGGTATTTCATCAAACTTAAGAAAACCTTATAAGATGCATCATTATTGTATGTACTAATTATGCAAAGCAATGTTTTAAATTAAACCATGTCACGTAATTATAATATGCATCTAGATAGATTTCAGATGTCAAAATGTGGGAAAATGTGTACTCAGACTCAATGTAAACAGAATTCCTATGAATCAATAATATTCTAAACACCAAATAGAAAAATAGGCAAAGGATATTAACGGACACTTATCAAAAAAGAAATAAATGGGCTACATATATGAAATGTTCAACTTCACTCACAATAAAAGAAATGCATGTTAAGACTACAATGAGATACTATTTTTCACTGGCAAAAATCAAAAGGTTGATAACACTGTAACAAAAATTTGAGGAAACAGCACTCTCAGACATTTCTGATAAAAGTGTAAATCAGGTATAACAAACTAGGAAATTTATCTGTCCTGATATAGCAGATCTACTTCTATGTATGTGTACAAAATAACAGACAGAAAGCTAATTTACTCAAAATTATTTTTGAGGGGAAAGGTTGATAATACCATAAATATGGTGGTATTGGTGGTACATCATAAAATGAAATACCCATCGAAAAGAATGAGGGTACTCCTAATAAATTTTCATGGATGGTCTCCAGATATATTAATTTTTAGAAGATTAGAAAGTGTACAGAATACTACCAATTGTGTAAGTGTAAGGGGATGAGACAAGAACATACATTATCATTTGAATGCATAAAATATCTGATGGGAAAAAACAAGAAGCTGGGAATACCGTTTGCCTCTGGGGTAGGAAAGAGAGAGGTTGGGACTTACGATTTAAAAATGCTAACATTTTCTTTTGAAATATTTATTTTTAATATATAACCTAAAAATGTTTTTAAATTAAGAAAGCAACACTTGCCGTTTTTCCTTTTGAGGTTTCAGAATCCTCATCTTCATCTACATTGAGTAGATTTGTCTCACTGCAAAGAAAATAAGAAGGGGGCAAAAAACCTTAAGTGGCAATTACAACCCATACATTAAATTCAGAAGTTTTATCCTCTTCGTTCACCAAATATTCAGGGATCAGCAAACTTTTCTGTAAAGGGCCATAGAGTAAATATGCTAGGCTTTGCAGACCATATGGTCCCCATATCAACTTTTTCCATTATAGTATAAAAGCTGCCAAAGATTATATGTGTGGCTGGGTTCCAATAAAGCAATTAACAAAAATCCAGTGGTGGGCCAGATTGGGCCTTGTGAGTCATTGTTTGTTGATCCCTGCCATAAACGAATATAATACTTGTTTTCTTATACATGGATTTCATATATGGTCATTCGTTTTTACTTTCTGTCTCGGATTTAAAATTAGGGAGAAAGGAAACTGGTAAGAAAACTTGAGCTAATGAAAAGAAAGTAATTCCAATGGTATTATCACAGTGAAAGTTATACCTCTAACATTTTGAAGGAAATATCAACCGTTCACTGAGATTTACTGACCTGAACTTCTAAAAGACCAGACTGATAACATCTATTAATCAAAAGTTCATGTTAATTTCAACATGTTCAAAAAGCTAAAGCCCCTGAGGATCCACTTATACCGAAGAACTGAAGAGTATGATTCATAAATGAAACGTAAAGGACAGGTTTTTACATACGCATAACAAATCTTCTCACAAAGAAACTCAAAATACACCCTTCCGAAAACAACTCTACTAAGCTATTTTTAGTAAAATCCTATTTATATAGAAACGTAAAATGGTCCAGGCAGTGTGGCTAAGTGGATTGCACGTCTAAGTAGATTGCACGTCATCCTACCGATTGAGAGATTCCAGTTCAATTCCTGGTCAGGGCACATGCCTGGGTTGCGGGCTCAATCCCCAGTAGATGGTGTGCAGGAGGCAGCTGATCGATGTTTCTCTCTCTCTCTCTCCCTTCCTCTCTCTCTCTTTAAAATCAATAGAACATGTTAAAAAAAAAAAAAAGTAAAATGTTTCATTACTGTTTACATATGTCCCAACTTTTTTAATGCTAAAAATTCTCTCCTTCCAAACATTTTACAAAAATGTTTAAAAAGTGGTATACTTTCTACTCAATTTAATTTCAGATTTAATTCCAATTTTTCAAAACTACACAGGTACTAAATGTCTGAAACAAAAAACAATTTTAAATTAAAATATCAGAAATAAAAGACCATAAAATACCAATTTTATGTGAGAAACTTCCCAGTTCTAAGCCCTCCTTCAAATAAAACTTCAGTTCAATAGCTCATAGGTGAAAGCATAAAAAATGGTAATGATGAATGGAGCTGTTGCCCAGAAAGAAATGAAGCACCCCCAATATTTAGCCATTATACTCTGAATGACTTCTCGTGTAAAATTTCTAAAACATATTTATAGTTTTGGTAGAACTTAGTGTATATATTTGTGTTTCTCTAAATTTGCTGTTTGTTCTAGTTAGGAAATAAAAACACAGGTAAATAAACCAAGAAATTAATAGCAATGCTGAATTTGTAATACAAATTCTACACAATGCAAAAGGTTCTACTAAAACCATTATTTAAAATTTTTCACAGAAGTAATTCCAAGTACATTAACAAATGTAATGAACACTTTGCTTAACTTCTGTCTGGGTCAACACCTTTGTTTATCATTTAGAATGTTTGTGCTTTCTCTGGTAGTAATCTGATCTAAGGTAGACATAGTGGTGAGAGTGTAACTGGGAGGAAAGTTACTATAGGACTTAAACTTTCATAGAAAATTCGGGGGTCTTAATCTTAGGGTCCACTTACTCATGATAAATAAATGGTGGATTTTCAGATCACTTAAAAGAATCCTGTGTTTATTTTTTTAGTGAGGAACAATTTCTTTAGATAGAAATCTGTAGTATGGTTGATATTTAACCATAGGTTGCACGTTTTATGTGCAAATATTTATACATTTCAAAATATGGAGAAATATAACAACAAAATTATTTACTAATAAAGAACTGCCTTTTCTTTCTTTAATACTATTGTAAAAGAAGTCAATATTTTCTTAAGTAAAGAATACCATACTCTTAAAACTATTTCCATGGAATATAAATTATTTTTTCTAATGAAAAGTTTCATTCTTATAAAAGAGCTGAGGGAAAAAAAAATCTTACTCTTTATCTGTATCTCCTTCACTTTCTTCTCCATGATCAAAGCTCCAATTATTTTTAAAACCTCCATCTCTCTTAGATTCTGATTTAGTCAAAGCTGAAATAAAAACAGATAAGTATTCATTAATAGAGATATTAACTATAAAATAATATTGAGTGTTCTCCAAGCCCTTTGCTTAGTCTAGATTTTCTTTTTACTTGCTTGCCTTTGACTATTGCTTATGAACATCTTATTTCCTCTAAAGAGAAAAAGAGCACTTTAATGTTATCCATATGTTTGAGTTTGCTAGAGAAAGAAGCTCAAATTAGTAAAATATAATAAAAATGGGGGGAAGACACATGAATATATATGAAATATTTTTAAAAATCAATCCTGTATCTCCATAATTAGCCACTGATTCTAGAAATCAGTGCCTGTTAGTGTACTTGCCTTATTTACAAAAACCATATCCAGACCACTAATCTTTTCTTCACTTCCATCGTCTCTGCCTTTTAACAGAAGATAAATAAATCAAAGGTGTCTGTGTTGGCAATATAGTGAAACTGATTTGCCAGAAAACAAAAACAACAAAAACCTCCATCAGAACACCAAACATGCTTCATCATGAGTTTAAAAAATTTTGTAAGTGCATGGCTGAAATCCCCTAAAGCCATAAACAACTGGAAAGTGGGAACCTGGAGAGAGAAATAAACTTCTGAAGTTGTCATTGAAGCCATGTGACAAAAACCGGATGGCCTACAGCCTCATTTTAAAGATCAAGTTTGGAGCTACAGAGCCCGGTCTGTGTGCTTCAGTTGGTTGAGCAAGATCCCATGCACCAAAACGTTGCCACTGCAGTGGGCTGGTTGGCCCAGTGGTTGAGCATTGACCCATGCACCAAGAGGTCGCTGGTTCAATTCTCAGAGCACATGCCCAGGTTTTGGGCCCAATCCCCAGTAGGGGCATGGCATGCACGAGGCATCCAATGAGTGTTTCCTCTCTCACACTGATGTTTCTCTCTACTTTCTCTCCCCCTCTCCCTCCCTCCCCCTCTCTTCTCTCTCTCTCTCTTAAATCAATAAAACATATTTTTAAAAAAAGTCTGGGGCCACAGCAAGATGAAAGGTCAGACTGGATACCAGAACACCTGAAGGGCAATACTCTGACTGGGTGATCTAGGGTGAAAAAGAAACTCACTGAAGCCCTGGTGGGTTTCTCGGTGGTTAGAGCATCGACCTACACACCAAAGGGTCGCAGGTTTGATTCCGAGTCAAGGGCACATACCTGAGTTGTAGGTTCAATCCCTGGCTCTGTTTGGGGAGCATGCAGGAAGCAACCAATCAATGCGTCTCTCTCCCTCTCTCTCTTCCCCTCCACCCATCCCTTCCATTCTCTCTAAAAAAAAAAAAAAAAAAAATCAATGAAAAAAATATATATCCTCAGGTGAGGGTTTTCAAAAAACAAACTAACTGAATAAATCAACAATGGCATAATAATGATGCCCTGTCCCTAGTTCTGGATTTTTGGATCGAAGTGAAGATGAAGTATTTCCACCCCGTGATTAGGGAATTCCTAACCATAAGCTCATAATTACTCAAATTTGGGACCAGAAGTTTCATAACTTACATGGCCCAGAAAACTCCTAATTTTAAAAGTCTCACAATAAAAGATGCTCAATATCACTAAACATAAGGGAAATGCAAATCAAAATTATGAGATATTAGTTCACACCCATGAGGATAGCTATTTTTTAAATATTAATAAGCAGTATTGACAAATATGTGGAAAAATTAAAATTCATGCACAGCTGGTGGGAATGTAAATACTGCAGCCACTGCAGGAAAAGTTGGGCTGTTCCTTAAAAAGTTAAACATAGAATTACTCTATGATCCATCAATCCAACTTGTAGGTATACACCCCAAAAATAATCAAGGGCATGGACTATGATACTTGTACACCAATATTACAGCAACATTATTCATAACAGCCAAAAAGAAGGTGAAAACAACCCAAAGGAATGAAATTCTGATACATGCTACAACACAGATAAATCTTGAAAACATTACAGTAAGTGAAATAAACCAGATACAGAAGGTCAAATATTATATGATTCCACTTATACGAGGTACCTAGACTAGGCAAATTCAGAGAGACAAAAAGTAGAATAGCAGCAGCTAAAGTGAGAGGAAAGGGAAATGGAGAGTTATGTTTTTTTTTAATCCTCATCCTAGGATATTTTTCTATTTATCTTCAGGTAGAGTGGGACGGAGGGACAGAGAAAAAAAGAAACATCAATATGAGAGGGACACATCAACTGGTTGCCTTCCGCACAACCCCAACCAGGGCCAGGGACGAACTACAACCGAAGTATGTGCCCTTGACTGGAATCAAACCCGTGACTCATTGGTCTGTGGACCGACACTCTAACCACTGAACAAACCGCCCAGAGTGGTCAAGATGGCGGCGTAGGTCAATGCAGTATCGCGTCCGCCCACAACCACATCAAAGTTACAACTAAACTACAGAACAACCATCATTCAGAACCGCCAGAATTCAAGCTGAATTCAAGCTGGAAGTCCTAAATTAAAGTTCAAAATTAAAGAAGCCCCATCAAGACTGGTAGGAGAGGTGAAGGGGCGGAGGTGCAATGGGCTAGTCCTACACCCACGTGTGGCGGATAAAAATTAGGAGGCTACCTCAGCTAGGAAGGTCCTCCTTGAGGACTGAGGGGTCCCCGTCCCACACTAGGTGTCCCGCTCAGGGTTCTAGTTCCTGGAAGAGAAGTCCCCATAACTTCTGCTGGAAAAACCAGTGAAAACTGAGGCTGAGGGAGACTGAGGCGGCTGGAGCCCCAGGCAGCTCCTCTTAAAGGGCCAGCGCATGAACTTATCGGACTCACTCCCTCTAAACTTGGAGGGGAGGCAGCTCGAGGGGCGCCAGAGACATACAGGGAGGAACTGAGCTGTTTGGCATTGGAGCGAGGGCTGGAGAGGGGGTTTTCTTCGGGACAGACGTGCTGTCAGAGGCCTTTTTCCTTTGGTGAAGCCTTCTCTGGGGCAGCAGACAGTTGCTATATCTAAGACACCAGCAACCTGGCTCACACTGGTTGCCCCGCCCTGGTGATTACTTGAGGTCTTGCCCCACCCAACTTTCAGGCCCACCCAAGCTGTTGCCACTTGCTTAAACATAGGATTGGCCTGTCTTGGATCCTGCTTCAGGTTTTCCTAAATACTTTCAAACAAGCAGCATCTGGACTCGGATAGCCCCATACCTCTCGTTAAGTAATACACAGAAACAAACACAGGGAAGCAGCCAAATTGAGGAGACAAAGAAACAAGTCCCAAATGAAAGAAGGGAAGAAAACCCCAGGAAAAGAACTAAGCAAAATGGAGATAAGCAACCTTACAGATGCTGAGTTCAAAACACTGCTTATAAGGATGCTCAATGAACTTAGTGAGGGCCTCAAGAGCATAAAGAAGGACCGTCAGAAATGAAGGATGCACAGTCAGAAATGAAGGAGGTACTACTTGAAATAAAGAATAATTTACACAGATTCAATAGTACAGTAGGTGAAACCAAAAAGCACACCATCGATTTGGAATATAAGGAAGCAAAAAATACCCAATCAGAAGAGTGAAAAGAAAAAAGAATCCAAAAAAATGAGGATAGTGTAAGGAGCCTCTGGGACAATTTCAAGCATGCCAACATTCGCATCTTGGGGGTGCCAGAAGGACAAGAGAAAACAAGAAATCAAAAACCTCTTTGAAACAATAATGGCAGAAAACTTCCCTAACTTGGTGAAGGAAACAGACATACAAGTCCAGGAAGCACAGAGTCCCAAACATGATGAACCCCAAGAGGCCCACACCAAGACACAGCATCATCAAAATGCAAAAGGTTCAAGACAAAGAGAGAATCTTAAAAGCAGTAAGTTACCTACAAAGGAGTTCCCATAAGACTGTCAGCTGATTTCTCAAAAGAAACTTTGCAGCCCAGAAGGGAGTGGCAAGAAACATTCAGAGTGATGAAAAGTAAGAATCTACAACCAAGGTTACTCTATCCTGCAAAGCTGTCACTTAGAATCAATGGCCATATAAAGACTTTCCCAGACAAGAAAAAGTTAGAGTTTATCACCACCAAACCGTTATTATATGAAATGATGACAGGTCTTTTTGAAGATAAAATATATGAACAAACAAAACGGCAATGAATATATATATCTATCAACAATTGAATCTACAAATAAAATGAACAGGCAGAACAAAAACATTCTCATAGATACAGAGAACATTTTGTTGATTGCCAGATGGGAAGGGGGGGTGGGGGAATGGGTGAAAAAGGTGAAGGAATTAAAAAGTACAAATTGTATCCTAGACTGACAAACCTCAAAGAGAAGGGGGTTGGGGGGTGGAAAGAAATAAACCAAAGAACTTATATGCATAACCAATGGACACAGACAACAGTGTGGGAAAAGGAGGGAGGGAGGAGGGGGGAGGGGGTGGAAGTGGGGAGGAGGGAGTCAATGGGGGAAAAACAAGGACCATCTGTAAAGATACATTCAACAATAAAGATAAAAAAAGAAAAAAAAGAAAAATGAACAATATGTTCATGCAGTAATAAAAATACAGTAAGTTTTCACTTAAGATCATCGATAGGTTCTATGACTTTAAGTGAACTGACATAATAAAACCATGGTATAATTTTACCATAGGCTAATTGATATAAACAAGAGTTAAGTTCCAGGAGCATCTGGGATTGTGCTCCCCAGCATATATCATCACTTTGGCTCAAATAAACTCATAAAAAATTTTTGAAATAAAGAGTTGCACAACCAATCAACACGGACACTAGGCTGAGGAAGGCAAGAAGGGGGTCGGAGCGGGAAAGAGTGGGTCAATGGGGAAAAAAGGGGACATCTGTAAACTTTCAACAATATAAATAAATAAATAAATAAATAAGAATTAAGTTCCTATGGCATCTCATCAACATAAAAATGACATTGAATGAACCGATGTTATTCAAGGACATGCTGTACAATCACTCAACTTATGATGGTGTTATGTCCCAATAAACCCATCCTAAGTTGAAACTATCATCTTGAAAATGCACCTAACCAA